ATTTTATCGTGTTATAACATACAGAATACAGAAAGTAAATGTACCATTACTGAACATGTATCTATATCTGAATACGTACACAAAATTTATTAATCTCAAATGCTTTTTTTATTATAAAAATCAAAATTTAATTATAAAAATATTTAAAGATTACAATTAAATTATATTATAAAAAAAAGCATTTAAAAAGAAATCTTTATGTACTTGTTCAGATATAGATACATGTTCAGTAATGGGACGTTCACCTTCTGTATTCTATATGTTATAACACGATAAAATCTCTGATAAAATACTCTTAAGAAGTTCTTAAGAACTTATTATGTAAAATTCTGATGTACGTTTACCTTAATTTATTTGTAAAACTTATTTAAAAAGCAAATAAAAAACATCAACAAATTTTCTATAATTTAAAGTAAAAATCAATTTAATATTTATAACAAGATAGATTTTGTGTAGCAATTGTTGCGCAGAAAGTTGTGCGCCTGCTCTCTGTGTCAAAGACCTAGATTCAAATCCGACTAGGAACATTGGATTTTTATTCGATCGCTACACAAAGCCTATCTTATTATAAATATTAAATTGATTTTTACCTTATGTATTCTGTATGTTATAACACGATAAAATCTCTGATAAAGTACTCTTAAGAAGCGAATATTTGAATAATGCTTCTCAAAAGGCAATAGCAAACCACCGAGAGTATATCTTACTGCAAAAACCTCTCTAAATTAAGCCAGTCGGAACCGGCGTTAAAATCGTAAGTCCCGTATTTGTCTAAATTGTACATAACGCACGCAGAAATACGATGAGGGATTATCACGCTTATAACAAGAGGCAAAGGAATTGACGATGCTGATAATGGACTTACCTCTAATTCTGTGTGTAACTTGTCTATTTGTTTTGCATAACGTTTTAAAAGTACACCATCCGACATGACTTCGTTCAATTCTGGCTTATTTTTTATATTTCTAGCCCTAGATGCAAACCTGTTAATTAAAAAATAACAGTCAATATCTAATTATTCAGCAATATATTTACATTAATATACTTAACATTTAAGAAAAATACTAACGATAATGTGCACTGAGTTTCATCTAACGCAGCCGGTGTTACTGCGCATATTATCACCGTCATTGCATTGCCACCCAGAGAAGGTTGAAGCAACCTCGTTAATTTGCTGTTCCGGAAATTTATGTATTTCTGCGAGTCTTGCGACTCGCTCAATTGCCTTATCACTAGAGCCAGTGTAGAGAGGGACAAGTTGATGTGACGTCCTTCTTTAAGGCGTTCTCCAGTGGCACCTGTCTGGCCTACCCTTTCCGAACCAGCGAGGTCAACCATGTTCAATTGCGAAACCTGTATTGCACCATCTGAGTCAGCACCGGCCACTCGACTTTCGATCGTCTGCAATATGCCACAAAATGTTAAGCTTACACAGTACGTTAATATTTCGCATATCTATATGCAACATTAAAGAATGCTGGAAATTCTTACGATTCTAAATATCGTGTGGCTCCTGCTACTTCGCTCATTCATATTCGTCTCGCCTATTCTCCTGATTCTATTACCCTTACTCATCATGGACAAAACGTCCTCCGGGCAGTTCGTAACCTCTTCCTTACATTTGACAAATACCTGGCCATTCACGTCCTCGTGTATTCTGAGATCCGTTATTTCACCTTTCTTCGTCATCAAGAGATCGTTGACTTTCTCATTATAAATCTCTAAATATGACACCCTGAAAAATTGATACATTATCAAAATGTATACAATTATATAAAAGTGCTGTCATTCTTACAGCGATAGTATCTGTCGGTGTTAAGATTTTTATCATAACAGATATACCAACCTCAATAGGAATTCACGTCCCGGGGTATTGGCTATCGCGTCGAACATGTGTTCGACAGCCAGGGGTATTATGCCAGGTTCGTTCGGGGTGCCCATCATGGTGTAGGTTTTGCCGGAGCTCGTCTGCCCGTAAGCGAACACTGTGCCATTGAATCCGTTCACGGCTGCATCGACGATAGGCCTCACGACATTGTCGAATACGTCATTGTTGCTGGCGCTCGTATCGAAAACGTGATCTGTAAATGTAACACCGTGTACATTAACATAAATGATATGGAATCCGTCAAGAACAAATGACGGTGTTTGTCTCTTGTTGAAAATTATAACCCCACATATCCAACCATCGATTGGCTATCTTTATACCGTCACATTTAACGTTTTTTTTTTTCCGATCCTACATTCGACCTACAAAAATCGCGACGATGTAAACATTTACTGCATTTCAGGTCAAACATAGGCTACAAAGTCGTCGACTAAACGCGCGGTGTAGCCCGCGGCTATTGACGGCAACATAATAACGCGATAATTGTATCTTGTTTTCCTCGCCTCGTGACGCATACGTGCTTTTTTTGTATCCAAAGCGAAGAGCAAAATACGCATTTAATCGAAGGGGAAAAGTCAGAAATCGACAGACGTAACGAAGTCGATTTTTCGAAGGAGATGGGACGAATAAAAAAAAACGTACGTGTGTCAGAACATTCGCGTCTGTCGCGTTTTGAAAGTCACGTTCGTATTAATTTCGCGAGACACATTAATTACTCACCAAATTCGAATCTACCGTCGGATCGCTTTCGGAACTCGGCGTCGGTCGCCACAATGGTGTTGCCCTGCGTCACCCATTGTATCGATAAATTGTCGTCCCTCTCCCGATTGATGAGCGGCCTGACTTTAATAGCCACTTTAACACTGTCCGACATCGCGAGCTATTCTTCCGAACTGAATACTTAAGTACTTAATCGAGGATGCAAGCCTCGCCGCATCTATCACCTCGGATGATGCATTCGCGCGCAAGCACCACACACGTCACACACCCACACACACACGCACACCGTGCACCCGTATTGTCAACAGTCGACGGAAGACTGAACGCTCGTTGCGCCTCGTTCAAATTCGAAACACGCCACGCCACGCATGCGTCGATCGTCAGCCGCCACGCGGCCGCAGGGCTGCGTTCACAACTTCGCCCAGGTGCATCTAGATGTCATTGTATCCTTGTTTAATGCTCGGTGGATAACAGGGATAAACTGATATACCGTAAATTCCTGAACGCGCCCCTAATTTTTTAATTTTTGCGACGTGCTGTATGAATACGTGTATATACATACATATATACAGCGATACAGCAATAAACGTTGCGAAAATTAAAAAATAAAAAACATCAACTTTTCACTGTCGATAATAAAATAGCGAATTCGATCATCAGGTAAAACGATCTCGTTGTTTGTTATCCTCGGTGCAGCCAAAATCGTTGGTAATGTCATCGTTCTTCAATTACCCACGGGCCCACGGGGGGGCCCACAGTCGCGAAACGTCCGGTGATCGCGTATTCGCGTTGCCGCTCTTTCGTTTCACGACGCGACGTAAACAAGGCGAGCCTCGCGTGCGATTAACGTCGTGACAACGCACTACTTAATCTTCGGCATCGTCCAGGCATCGCGCTAAACGCTTGTAAGGAAGGATCGTGCGGACACAATTGCGCCGATTGCATTCCGTTGCGCCATCGAGTTGAACACGATGAATTACCGCGCGAAGATGGCAACGAAGGGCCGGCTTCTCGTCAGCTGCGTGGAGATGTGGGAGAGGAAATAATTCAGGAACACGCGGTAGCGGGTGAGTGATTTTTACTTTCAAATATATAACTTAATGGCATAACAATGATATTCTCAAGATTTGCAATATATGCTGTACTCTATATATCGTATATAATATATTTCTAAAAATGTGAACGTGAATATAAAACACGATTTAACGATATGTCACAACATACAATAATATTCCTACATGACCCCTTGTATCTAAAAGCGTCCCTTTTTTCCAGTAAACTCCCCGGCGTTTCAATTAAACGCAGCGTGAAAATACACATTCGCAGGATCGGTATATATGATCAATGTGACAATGCTTGATTCATGAATTCGAGATGCGATACGTTTGACAAAAAAAAAACAGAAAAAAAAAGAAATACAGATTTCGCCGAGAGGGTCGGTTCTCCTCTCGCCGCGGATAACCCCAGACAACTTAAAGTTTCCTGACGATCGGTTTTTTTTTTTCCGAAATTTCTTGCTCGGGAAAATTTTGCGCCGCAAACGCATATAAAGTAATAAAAGTAACAGGTATTTTCCTTAACGCTTTCGGTCATCCCCCGTATCACAAGCCGACGAACGGGCTCAATCGAGGCAGGCTACATTTAGGCTACATTTGCAGGACTGGATGTCTATATTCTCAATAATAAAGAACAGACACAGTCCGTCTCGTCATCTACATATGTCTGTATTTTTTCTTTTTTTTTTTTAAGTCCGCTCCTCCTTATTACGGCACGCCGTTCTCTACGCTTTACGGTAGTAAATGTACTCAGTGGCTTTGTATCTATCTGAATAATTGGAAGCGTATCTCTCTCTCTCTCTCTCTCTCTCTACAATGCTTTCTTGTTTGCTGATTTACTTTGGTCTCGGTACGAGACTAAAACATAGCATCTTTTCTCTTTTCTGTCGCCGCCTACTTTTACAAGCATTTCTCGTTATGTAAATCGCCAGCGTGATATCCACGCTTTTACTTCCTCAATATGCCCTTTTGATTATCTGTCACAAGAATGAATATACATGTCGGTATCTAAATTAAATATAAATATAATTAATCAGTAACACGATACTTTCTAATGGACGGATTGTGGACTAGTATACCCCATTTATGTTATTACTTTTGCTGTAAAGTCTTTGTTAAGAATAATCAAATAATAATTTATACATTAATTATTATTTTTTAGATAAATGAATTATGATTTTTTTTAATGGTTACTAATTGTTGGACGTTAAACTGACTTCTTTACAACCGATAGATAAGAATTGAGGTAGTGAAACAAAGGTTACAAATGTTACTATCAATTTAGCTAATTGTAAGTACTGTTGTAAAATGTATATACGCATATCACAAAAACTTTCCACACATATTTCATGCGTATCGATAAACTGTATGAAATATGTCTGGATCTCTCGTGTAATAGTTAATCATTGGAAGCATAAAATTCGTATAAAGTAAAATCTCGTTAGAAATTCAATATTATTCAATGTGTGTAAAAATTGTATATCAAATGAAATATATAGTTATCGAAAAAATCCGCGATTGTCCCAATTGCATAAGATTATCAAGAAGCGCTATGGATTCATCGCGGTAAATCGATGATCTTGTATATGCTTTCTGTAATGACTTCGATGTGCAATGCTCAAGCGCATGTCGAACGATATTTTTATGTATGCGAGAGTTAATTGCACCCCATATCCTCGAAGAGAAATATAACTTATAAGTACCCATATACTGATACAAATATCCAAGTGTAGTGTACAAGTACTGCACTTAGAATATTTAAGTACTACGCTTGATACACACATATATATATATATATATATGTACGAAGAATGGCAATCGTTTCGAAGTCGAGATAACTTTTGGTAATTTAATTAATGTAATATTTGAAGGATACCTCTCGTAAAACCGATAGTAAAAGTTTATTGAATCAGAATACATTTACTTGAGGTATCATAATGATTAGAATCCTTTTTTCTTCAACATCGAAAAATGACTCTTGTTGAAAAAATGTTTTTCCATATTGTCAGGTAATCTTAACTTAAAACGTTAACGTAAAACGTACAAATCGATAGATGACTCTTGTTGAAGAAATGTGTTTCGATATTGTCAGATAATCTTAACTTAAAACGTTAATGTAAAACGTTTCACAGCAAAAAGCAGACTCGAGGAAACAAGAAAACGTTCTCATTATCACTCTCATTATTGAGTATAGATTGAATATGTATATGTGTGTGTATATATATATATATATATATATATATGAGTGTATATATTCTACTGGCAGTTTTCAGAGAAAGTTCAGTCCGCGACTATACTTCTTGCGATTATTTGAGTTGCGACGGGGTGGTGGATCTGTAAGACGGTGGGGCGGGTAAAGCTAATGACGGCGGTAAGCTAGCACTGCTCGACAGGGTGGAATCCAATTTACGCGCCTCGTGTTCGAGTAACACCGCGTCCAACGACGGATCTTGCGCCACGGTTCTCAGAGAGTCGCCCAACGCTTGTCGCAACTGTTGCATCTCTCTACCGGCGCGCGAGCTCCGTAAAACGTACAGCTGCCTGCGCTTTATCTCCTGATTGAGCTGCTCCCGCAATAATTGTATCTACGAGAAGATTATACGTTTTATTTGAAACGCGTGCTTATCTTGTGCCAGAGATTTTTTTAATATAAATTTATGGGCACGTTAAATAACATGATATAATGTATGTTATTTAAGTTGTGGAAAAATAGATTGCGACACTTTTTTTTCTATGGGTTTCGGAACGCACTAATATTTTGCAAATGCGAACCCCACGATTGGTGTACAGTTTCTAGACTAAAGATATAGTACGTCAATCGTGGTTCGCATTTGCAAAATATTAAATATATTGTAAATTAAAAAAAAATTGTATATTAAATATATTAAATATATTGTATATTAGAAACCTATAAAAAAAGAGTGTCGCAACCTATTTGTCCACGACTGTTCATATTCACGATAAGCTGTATATTCTACGAAAGTAATATAAATGTGCACAAAATATATGTATACCTGATTTTCCAAACGCGATACTTGCTGACGATGACTCTGTTCTCTCGCCTCTAATAATTTCTCGGCCTGCAGTTGCGCGGCTCTGATCCGTTCCAATTCTCCGCTTCTATCTCGACTCGTGTCCAATAGCGAATGAGAGGAATGGATGTAAGTTGATTTCAGGCGTATAAGCTCGGCCTCCTTCTCCGCTAATTGGGTCTCCAATTTCCGCACCTTCAATCTCAATTCTCGATTCTCGTGCTCCAGATTGTCGAGGCTGAAACTGGTGCCCAGAAGTTCCATGTGCGCTTTCTCCGGATGTTCGTAACTCTTGCTTCGCAAACCACCGGTCTTGCTCGAAGCGAGCTGACGCTCCAAATTACGTTTGTCAGCTTCTAATAGCTTCACCTAATAACAGGATACGTTTTGTAAATATGAAAAGTTCAATTTACGTACACTCGCGTTTTTTGATTCTTGCAACATTTGTCTACAAAGCACGCTTACTTTGTCATTGAGAGCGTCCACTCTTCCTCTCATCTCGCTGCGTTCTCTTTGAGCAGTTTGCAATTGACGCAATAGTTCTTCGTCTTTAGTCACGCCGCCTTCCGGTGGCCACGTGGACAATCTCAATTGCGACTCCAAAGCTGATCGCTGCACCTCATTGTTGGCTAGCTCATTCTGCAGCCGTGCATTGTGATCGATCAGCGATTGATTGGTGTGCTTTAAATTGCTCAAAGTTTGCTGAACCGTTTCCAAACGTTCGGATAATATTCTACGATCATTCTCGGCATTCGAAAGTTGTTTCTGCAGCTGAAACAAATACAGAAATGCAGAAATGAAATACGTGGATGTCGACTTACAGTTTCAAAGAAAAATCATTAACTCTCTAGCTTTTATTAACAGTCGCTTACCTGCTTGAGCTTCTCGCTGTTACTTTGAGAGGAGGTAGTAATCTCCACTATATTGTGTCGTAACAAATTTATTTCACTCTTAAGCTCGCTTTCCGTAACAGATGCTTTCTCTAACGACAGTTTTAATTGCTCTATAGTAGATTTTAACGAGGCGCAACGTTCCTCCAAACCTGCCATGGTACGGCTTTGCGTGTCAAAGCGGTCTTGCAATTTCTATTAAAAAAAAAAAAACAGCGTTTATGAAATTTACGTTTAAATTTCAAAAACGGTGTTTCCATCTTACTTGAATGTGTGCCTCCTTTTCTTGCAGCATCATTTGCAATCTTTGGAGATCGCCGTCTAAGGACATTCTGTGCAGTTCCATCTCTGTCGCGCGAGAATCGCTGTGGCGAACTTCCTTCTGAAGATTACGCTTCTCCGTCTCCAATCTGTTCAGTTCTTGTTTCAGTTTCTCTAGCTTGTCCTAAACAAACGCAAAGTTATATGCACTGAGATATTGTACGCAGCGGTTGTGAGAATATTTCTTCCAAATTGTACCTCGTATTGGCCTTTCTCGTCCGACTCGGTACTCATCTTTATCTCTAAGCTTGTAACTTTTTCATACAATTGCTCGCATTGCTCTGTCTTTTGTTGGAGTGCATCCAACTGAAAATAAACGAGAATATTAAACCTTGCTTCGTCAGTGAAATGCAAGATACGCGTTTAAAAAAAAAAAAGATAGATACCTGTGCTTGATAGCTAGCCTGTGTTTGAGTTAGTTTCGTTTCCACAGATGTCTTCTCTTCTTGAAGCGTCCGAATGTTAACCAGGAGATTGTTGACTTTAACATCTGTGTTGCTTTGATTTTCTTGAGACTCCCTCAGTTGCTTCTTCAAGCCGCACAGTTCTGTTTTGTAATCGTCCTATAACATTAAATCATCATAGATTTTATTGTAATAAATATTGATTTATGTGATAAATATATACTACTAATAAAAATATTTACATTAATATTACATAAATATAGTACATATTTAAGTAACATTAATGTAAATATTTATGTAATAAATAACATACGTATCACAGAGAGAATTTCCTTTTAAAATTTACCCTGAAAATCATATTAATCGTGGGACAACATATTATTTCGACAAATTTTATGTGATTTTCTCTGTTTTTTTACTATGCAATAAATTTGTTGTAGTATATATTTAAAAAAATAGTGAAAACCTCATAAAATTCGTCGAAATACTAGACTAACATGATTTTCAGGGTAAATTTTAAAATAAAATTCTCTCCGTGTAACCGACAGAATCAAACCTACCCTCTCGCGCTCGATTTGGGCAACTTGTTGCATAAGCGATCGTACTCCTTTCCTAACGGCTTCAGGATCAACGTCCAGTATGACGTCTCTGCCAGTGTCGGCATGATCTTGCGCTTGATTAAATTTAAAACGTTACGTATTAACTGCATTTTATTCACCGTGAAACGATAGAGAGTACCGCACATCGTTACACTGAGAAAAAAAATTACTTAAAACAAATAAATATGTTTCAGGTACCCCTCAAAGGAATAATTTTCTTGAAGCAAGTAAAATTTTTTTATTTTAAGTAAAAGTGTTTGCACTGAGAAAAAAAATTACTTAAAACAAAAAAATTTTACTTGCTTCAAGAAATTATTTTTTTGAGGGGTACCTGAAACATATTTATTTGTTTTAAGTAATTTTGTTTCACAGTGTATAGATCGAAATGAGAATTTTTCTTACCACGCGCCGGACTCCACCTTCTCGAAGGGCTCATCAATTTAAACGGCATGGTCACGCTTCCGTCCATTTGAATGCCGGCGATACGGCGTAGCGTGGAGCCCACGCTGCTCAACTTCTGCTCCACTTCCTTCTTCGCGGTCTCCAATTGCGACAGTTGCGCGTCGAGAGCTCGTACTCTGCCCTCGGATCCTCCAAGACGCGCCTGAGATTATAGATATTACACCCTCAGTTTCGGTGCAAACCGATTACGCGAGCCTCGCGCCTCCGCGCCTTCCTTCGAAAATACCTTCAGCTCTTGGAGTTGCTGCGTGGCGTCGGCTAAGCAAACCTCCAGATTATGCTTCTGATCCTCCAGCTTTCTTTCGCGACAGCGGCTGTCCTCGAGCCGCACCAGCAGCTCTTGCTCTCGAGCACGCCATCTTTCATCCTCCTCGTCCGCACGCGCGCGTAATTTCCCAAGCTCTTGCCGCGTGACTTCCAGACTGTTATCCAAGTCGATTACCTGCGACAACGAGTTTCCCGTCGTACTGACTGGAGAATCGAATGACGAAAGAATACGCGCGCAATTTCTTCACCTGTTTCTTGACCTGATGCAATTGCAGTTGTATTCGCTCTCTCTCCTCGATCTCGTTAGCCAGCCTGGCCTGCAGCTCCTTCTCCTCGTTTTGAGCCTGGGCGTTGTTCTCGTGGCACTTCTGCAGCTCGTCCTGCGTGAAGCGAAGTTGCTGCTGCAGCTGCAACGCTTCGCGTTCCATGTCGCGTACTTGCGCCTGCAGACGCGTCCTCTCGACGTCCATGGTCGCTTTCGCGTCCTCCAGTGCTAAAACACGGATATTCTAGCAGCTACCTCCGGAATCACGCGTCCGTACACGGAGAGAATTTTATTTTAAAATTTACCCTGAGAATTATGTTAATCGTAGGACAACATATAGTATTTCGACAAATTTTATACGATTTTCACTATTTTTTTTTAATGTACTATAACAAATTTATTATATTGCACAATTAAAAAAAATACAGAAAATCACATAGAATTTGCCGAATTTACTATGTTGTCCCACGATTAACATGATTTTCTGGGTAAATTTTAAAAGGAAATTCTCTCCGTGTATATCTACAAAGAGGAAATAATACCGACTTGCTATTTTCTGATATGACTCCTCCAACGTTCTCCCCTGCTCCCTCCTTTCGCTCTCAATTTGCTTAACGTGCTCCCGCAACTCCTTGTTACTGTTGTTGTATTTTTCCTTCTCGTACGTGGTATCCGCTAACTGCCGTCGTACGTCCACTAACTCTTTGCGCATTGTCTCATTAACATTGTCGGCTGCAATAAAATAATAAATGCATTGTAACAATTACGATCGAGAAACGGAATGAGATTGGAAGAGAAATTAATTTCTCATTACCGTCTTTGAGCTTTCTAATCGTATCGTGCAACTGATTTTGCAATCCATCCACTTTATCCTCCGTCATGTGCAGTTGAACTTGCAACTCTTCGACCTCATGTTGCGTGGACTCCCGTTCCTTCCAGAGCTCCTCTATTTTTAAGTCAAGTTTCATCTTTTCCTCGCTGGCCCTCAGCTTCGTCTCATCCAGCTTTGTTTTCAGACGATTTAACTCGTCGCGCAGCTGATTCGTATTATTCCGTTCTTGCTCGGCGCGCGCCGCGGCCTCTCTTTTAACACGTTCCAGAGTGTTCTTTTCTTCTTCTAATTCGCGCATAATAGTGTCGATCTTTTCGATTAGAGCCTGTTGGTCGTGATGAGCTGCAACAAATTCAAATATATTTAAATGTATTAACAATACAACGCACAAGATTATAAAGTTATGTCGCATATTTATAAAAATGATTGAGACTCAATTAAAAACATTTAATTACACACCTATTAGAAGTGCCTGTTGTTTGTCATTCTCGGCTCTAAGAAGTGCTTCCTCATGTTGCTTACACAAATTCTCTATGTGTTGCTGCAACTCTTCTATTCGTTGCTGCAGCTGATTGGTTTCTTCGTTTTTCTCTCCCTCCATTTGTGCTACAGATTGTTGCAACCGTTTCTCTAAACTTATTCTTATTTGCTCCTAAGAATGAATGAACATATAGAAATAACATAATAAATCGGACAGTCAAAGAGAAAATTTATAATAAATTATTTATAATTAATTATAATAAATTCTAATTTAAATAATTAATTAAATACTTTTTCGTCGCTTATCTTCTTTATGCTATCTTCCGATTGTCTCTTCATATTGGATATAATTTGTTGAAATTCTGCAATCTGATCGCCGCTCTGTTGCGTAAGCGACTGTTTGATGTCTTGCGCACGTTTTTCACTATTCTCCAGTTCCTTCGTCAGTCGCGTCACCTGTCCCTTAAAGCTCTCCTGTTTTATTAGTAACTCTTTTTGCTCTTTCTCTAATTGCGTTTTCTTAATATGCGTAGCTTCTAAATTGGTTTGTGTATCAAACAGTACACCTTCCAATATTTCCTTCTCCGTGCGCATTGACGCGAGCTGCTCTTGCAATCTCTGGAATTCCTTCTCATTTGTTTCCAAGAGCACCTGCATAAACGAGAAAATTGTCTTATCGTTTTAACATGTACAGTCGTGGATAGATCGGTTGCGACACTTTTTTTATAGGTTTCTGATATATATTTAATATACAAAATATATATTTTATAGATGTCTAATATTTTGCAACTGCCACGATATACAATACTATCTTTAGTCTAGAGACAGTACACGGAGAGAATTTGTTTTTAAATTTACCCTGCAAATCATGTTAATTGTGGGACAATATAATATTTAGTGTGCACAACACTACAACAAACAAATTTTACTGTGCACTGCAATAAGATTTCGCAGTAAAATTGATTGTAGTGCACAGTAAAGTTTGCCTAAATACTATATTGTCTCACAATTAACATGATTTGCAGGGTAAATTTAAAAACAAATTCTCTCCGTGTATAACACCAATCGTGGTTGGCATTTGCAAAATATTAGTGCGTTTTGAACCTATAAATAAAAAGTGTCGCAACCGATCTGCTCACGACTGTACACGGAGAGAATTTTATTTTAAAATTTACCCTGTCATCAAATGCAAAATCAAATTAATTGTAAGACAACATGGTATTTCGATGAATTTTATATAATTTTTACTTTTTTTTTTGACATAGTTACAACAAGTTTATTGCAGTGCACAGTAAAATTTATTGTAGTGTATAGTAAAATTTGTCGAAATACTGTCGTACTACCCACGATTAACAAAATTTTCAGGGTAAATTTTAAAAGGAAATTCTCTCCGTGATAACATAATTGATAATGTATAAACATCAAAAATTTATAATTTATATAATATTGATAATCCGTATTATAGGAATCGTCCTTGCCTGTTTCTCCTCGTTATCTTTCACCAGATCCTTCAAGTTCCTGTTTATTCGTGCATTCATTTCGTTGGACTGCTCTAATCTTTGCCTAAGCCTCATGAGCTCCTCGTTTAACGTTTCCTTCTTGCGCGCCAAAACCGACAGTTGATTGCTCAAATCGCTGCGCTCGCGCATCACTTGACCCAATTCCATTTCCACCTTCTCCTTCTCTATCTCCAGAAATTTGATCTTTTCGTTCAACGTAACCTTCTCGGATTCCACATCAAGCCGAGTCTGTTCGGCTTGCAGCAATTCCTTCCTCAACGAATTCAGATCCCCTTGCTGATCGACGCACTGATTCGCGAGCTTGTTCTTCTCGTCCGTCATCTACAATAAATCTGCAATTAATACCAAGCATATGTTACTGGAATATAATGTGAGACGTTACTTTTCTCAATTCCTCTTGCAATCTTTGCTTATCCTGCTCGTAGTTGGAGCACATCGTTTCCATTTTCATCAGAATTTCCTGTACATCTGACTTTTCCAACAGTATACGTTCCAACTCCAACTCGAGTTCGCCTAATAAATTATTTCCGTGAGACGTTTATACGATAGTTTATTTAAAGGCCACACAGTCTGTGAGTGGAAGCATACCTTTGCCCTTTTCGATTTGAGAAATCAATCCGTCGGTTTCTAACTTCTGCTGTTCCAACATGTCCTTGGCAAGATAAGCCTTACTCAATTCTTCCCGCAGCGTCAAAAGCTCTTCTCGCATTTTACTGCATCTATCCTCCTCTGAACGTAAACTTAATTCTCTGCGGAAATCGTTTTATTAAAAAATATATTTGTGATAATTTGCGACGGAACTGAAAGCAAATTGCGCTACATAAAATTCAGTTAATTTATACTTACTTTAAATCGGCATCCTCTGATATTCTACCAAGCTCATTTTGCAAATACAACTTTTCGTCTTCCAAGTTGTCGCACAATTTTTGTAACTTATTATTGGCCTTCTGAAGTTTCTCATAGTTACTTCTAAGAGCCTCCAACTGTAATATGAACGTTAGTGAATTATATAGCAATAAGTGTACAGGAAATATTTTAATGTTTTCTCTTACCGTGCTATTAAGTTCTACTTTATTTTTGTCCAATGCATTTTTCTCCATTTTCACAGTGTCGAGACTTTTCTTCAGCATGTCCCTCTCTTGATCTAACTGTGTGCATTGCGAACGGCATGTGTCCAACTGAGAGATCAGTTCCGCGACTTTTATATTTAACATCTGAGCGTTTTCCTCCGCGGTGTCGCACTGTTTTCGCATCGCTGCGATCTGTTCCTTGTTCGTTTGTGATTTTATCTAACACCGAAAATTCGTATGTAATAATAACAATAATAAGGCATAAGTTTTGTGAGTAGCGTGAAATCTTTTCGTTTCTTTTTGTTTCGTTTTCTTAAATTTTACAAGATTATCACGCATGTGTAAAATTAGCACCTCAACAATAAAATTCCACAGTTCCCATTTCATTTTGAAGAGACGAAAAGTTCTCTATAGTTTATGATGTTAGCCCCTATAGTTTATAACAAGAGTTCTGCTCAAAATAATAATTTTTAATTTAAATGTAAAAAATGAGGGGCTTATCAAAACTTCTCGTCAAAATTCGATGATCGAATAGTTCTGAGCGGCTTATTATAAACTATAGAAAACTCTTTGTCTCTTCAAAATAAAGCGGAAACTCCAATCAGAACTATGAAATTTTATTGTTGGAATAATAACTTCATACAGGCAGATATCGCTTACCTGTAACTCGCGTATCGTTAACTGATACTTCTGCAGAGCCGCCCGTACTGCACTTATAGTGCTTTCGGCAAGCGCCGGTATAGTGTTACTTCGCGCGCTTCTCTTCGGCGATCTCTGCTGAATCAGTCCGCTGGGCGACAGGTGGATGTGCGGGGACGCCTGTTTAGCGTCGGCGTCCCGGCTCTCGGCGTCCTGAATCACGGCATGCGCGATATCTCGTAACGCAGACTCCAGCACCTCGATGTCTTCCTGCATACGCACGGTTTGGCTCACCGCCGCCTCGGAAACGCCACATCTTTCTTCCTGTGCACGTACCGAAAGAAACAAGCACACTGTCAAAATTAAATCTTCATGCCGATTAAATTTTAAGTAGACCGATGCTCACTAAATTGCGAATTTCTCGAATGAGCTGATCTATCCGGTCGTCTTTGGTGCGAATTTCATGTTGATCGACGGCGTGCTGTTGCTTAAGTGCCGTAATCTCTGTTTTCAGAATTGTCACGGCTTGTTCCTCTTCCTGCTGCTGCATTCTTTGGGACGGCTGAAATGAGACACGCACGGACAATGTAATAAATTTTTCAACGACGGACGTAAGTACCGTAAAGTATTACATATATTTAACAACACAACTGTAAAATGATCTATAACCGTGGATTGCGTCGCAGTCGCTTGAAGCTTCATGGTAAAATTCGCAGTGTTGCATGCCGATGTCATTTCAGTAGACGACGCAATAATTTCGTTCCGTAGTTTGGACAAATCCCTCTCGGTAGTAGATTTCATTTCCGCGAACAGCCTTTTAACGGAAACAACATCGCGCCACAGATTCAATAATCGATTATGCTCAGATATGTAATATTCATTGAACGCCTGTTCCTCTTCCTTCCACTCCTCTTCCTTAATAGCCAATTCGTCTCTCAATATGTCCCAGTCGTTGCTTAGCTTTTGCAAATCATTGGTTAGCGCCTCGTTTGTTTGATGAGACTCCTCGAGTTGATCTTTCAGGGACGCGTTCAGTTGCAAAAGTTCCTCACATCTGCAACAGAGAAGAAGATGTCTTTGAAACGTAATTGTAAATCAAATATAAATATGTAGCACGAGTCTGCACATCTATTTGATTAAAAATGATGCCTTGAAGCTAATTTATATCAGAGGATCGGCAAATTACGGGCCTGCACAATAATAATTATAATTTTATTTTGAATTTTGCTAATAAAAAAATTTGTGGAAATTTGTGATATAAATTTTTGCGTAATATCTTACAAATTCTAAAATATTGACTACCGGTCCTTTAAAAAAAAATGACGCTCGATGTATTACGAATTTCTACTTACTTTCGCCGTTCATCGCCAAGTTTTTTCATGGCGGTATCCAAGTCGTGAATTTGCTCCTCGCGTATATCCCGAAGTGTCTGATGCGCAGCCTCTAGCACGGTGGTGGACGACACTACGGCTGTCGCTGGTTTACTGGTGTCGCACGGAATTGTCTCTGCCATCTGATTCTCCAGTTCCGAACATCTCTGTTTATACTGCAGAACCTAAAGCACCTTCAATTGTTATTCACTTATCACCGGCGAATCTTATAGTTCGCGCATCAGTTAGATCTGTACTTAATAAGAAAATTTAGTGATACTTGCTTTAGCTTGTAACCGCGAGACAAGGGCAGCTTGATGCTGCTGAGCCTGCCGATACGTGTCCAAACGTCTTTTGTAACTCGCGGTCTCCTCTTCCAAGCGATGACGGAGCTCATAATTTTGCCTGACTAGAGCGTCTGGTGACAGATCTTCATCACTACCTTGTTCTTCTATGGCACCCCCGCTGCGTGCAGAATCCATCTTACTCTTACTGCTTCGTTCCGTCTGTAAATGCATTAATTTTGCGCTGCACTTCACATTGTTGCAGAATTGCGTTTTATTTTTATTTAATTAAGAACTCTGTTTTATATTACACCGTACTTGAACATTAAATTCTTTCTTTCGCTAATTCGATATCGGTATGAAAGAAAATATAACGTAAGGGAGAGGAATTGCATATGTACGTACAAGATAAAACATACTGTTGTTATAAAATTATTTCTTTATTGTAGATTTTTATTCAGAATTATTTTTTGTAATTAAAACATGACGAAAATTCATCTTAATTCGAAGTTATTATTTTTAATAAAAACTTAAATTATTTTTAATGTTATATATACAAATGTTATTTCAAAAATTTATATAAATATATAAAGGAGCAATATATCAAGAGCACACGCGAAATCGTGTGCATCTTTAAACTTGGTTAGAATCCTGTTTATTGTTTATTTTGAGTTGCCATGGTAATGGTGACGTCACATTCATTGGCGTAACGAATTGCTTTACCGTGAAAATTACGTATCTATAGATAGAATTTTTATTAGTACACAAAAATTATTGCAATACAAAAATTTTATAAATCTGAACTCATAAATAAAATTTTATTTTAAATTAAAAAACGCGTAAACTAATTTTGATTTTAATATAAAGTATAATTTAAATTACAATAATTGTATGTGTGCGTATGTCATACACGTGTATTATTCTGTTTCTTATTATCGAGATTGAAAATGTTTTATACATTATTAATATTAATAATATATACATATAATAATATATAAAACTAGATATATGATAACAAAAAAGACAATGAAATGATATTTTTAATTAATTTAATTACAGAAACTGAATTAAAAGAGAAACGAATATTTTCTTCTATTCTATATAATAATCACTGGTGCCCTCATTTATAATGCATTATCTATTTTTTTACCTCCTTGGTTTTGGCAGAAGCTCTGAGAAACGGTGGCCGCCGCCTCTCCATCTGTCCCCGTGCCGATAATTGAGAAGTTCCTTTTGAAACTGGCTGCAACACGCGCAGAATTTCTTTCTTATTAATTTAAACACTTTCTATTAATTTAAACAATACACTATTTTATATCTCATAATCTTTATTAATTGAAAATTTCATCCTCGAGAACAGTCTATCTTCTAATATTGTTTCAAATATTATTTCAAATATTTACCTTTATAAACTACTATAATAGTAAAAAATTTTGGTATATCTATTTTTTTTTCTTTACAGTATTTTAAACTGTGTTTTTCAGGAGTGGGGATGCAAACGTAAATGCTTACGTTATGCTAGCATTCCCATTCTTGATATTAATTTAATAGGAGCAAAAAGTTGGTAATAAATTATCACTTAATTATGGTATATAGTCGAACTTTTTTTTAATAGTAGGGGTGCTATAGTTTCACAGAAATAAATATTTCCTACGTATTTGACGTTTCGAAGAATTCTGATTGATATTCTGTCGAAACGAGTTATGCTCGAACTTATCATCGTAATTGACCTGTCTATAGTATTGTTTTTTCATTTAAAATACTTTAGGTGGTAGATTAAAACTAATTAAGCTGATAAAGCAACAGAATTAATCCGCATCTGTCCAAAAAATCCGTTTGATTTCTTTTTTCGCCTGCAGATCGTTATTAGCCCCTAATATAGGTAGTTAAACCCGCGACCGCCAATATGCATGTCAACACATTTACAGTTATGATAGATAGGTCAGCTAAGTTTATTGATTGCAGCATGAAAGCGATTTTCGCTATCAAAATTACCCGTTATCGCGATACGGAGACGAAACAAATTGGCGGAGTTGTACAAAGTTCTAAACATTTTCTGTGTTTCGTCTCGCTGTCGTTACATCTTTTATCTCAGCCGTATTATTTTTGGGTGAGATGCACATTGCCGAGATAACTCTAATCTATTCCTTTTTTTTTTAGCTTTTACATGCCCTAATTACAATGTAGGAACACACTTGAGAATAAAACGCACACGAAATCAGTATTGTTTGATATAAATTAAATAATATTATAATTGAATTTTGCGTTGAAATTGACTAGTTTCAGCATGCTGTCGTGACGCTTGCAATTAGAAATATAATATTAATAATAGAACTCAAGAACTAATCTTTGATAATGTCAACAATCGTCGTTAATGATAGGCTCAATTGTATACTATGTTTGAATCAAGATATCTCGCATTCACTTTATAATTATAACAACGGTTGCGAACGTGTATATCGCTGGCAGCGGAACGCAGTGTTGATGCATGAACCGGAGACTTGCGGTTTATCTCGCTGCAGTTATTAGCCCAGGTGCTAAATTCTCATGGGGTGTCGGTAACCGCGTACGATCGCGCGAATAAATAACGGCCGGTATAAGGACGTGCCGCGAAACCATCGCGAGATTTACCCATAGAATCGATCGACTGCTTCGCCCTTCACGTCCTTCGACAGCATCGTTCTAAAAAAAACTCAGCAAATAAATCATCGATTAGTTCACGATGGAATACCATAAATTTTAATGTCGGTTTAAGATCCCCAGGAATCATCGAGGATTCAATAGACTTTATACTCGTCCGTTTTGAATGCCAATCTTTAACGTTAAAAAGTTCCGTGATTCGAAAAACTCGATATCGATAGAGTGGCTTACGCGGGAGAAAAGTATCCGTCGATACTTACGTAAGCATCTCTCCATGACGCAAACGATAATACGACAAAAGAGTGACGTGCGATTGATTACGCTGCGCCAGGTTACTGAACGGCTTGGAAACTACGATCTAGGATGAACGCGCAGAATTCATTGGTTTACGACCAGTAAGGCGAAGTCCGCGCAAGGATGACGTTAGTCAACTGTAGCGTGTTGTCGGATTCACACGGCACGGTTTGTGTCGATCGTGACAAACTTTAAGGTCGTCACCGAGGAAGTCTTCGTACGGGGAAGTCGAGCGGCGTATTCGTCGGTGATATCCTGGCCGGACCAGGTTGGGCATATATCGATTGGTGCCATTCAGTGCCTGGCGGTGGGCCGCGAGCTCTTCTTCTACTTCCCATTCGCTCAGATGCCAGATACTAGAGCCCTTCGTAGGGAAGACAAAAATTAGACACGCGGACTCGGGTTTAAACGTTCTACCGCGGCCGAAAGGGAGATCCGATTTCCCCCGTAGGAAAGAACTCGTAGAGAACGAGAGGAGTCGATCGCGTTTCGTCTCTCTTATACTTTCGATTTGCGCGATTTGTTGAGAACGATCTAATCCCGGTCGCTTAAAAAACCGTTCGAAACCATTGTACTGCAAAATCGAGACAACTTCGATGTGTTTTCTGCAGTGACTTCTAGTAAAGTGCTTTGCACAGGCGACTGTTTTTTTTTTTTTTCGTGTAAAATTCCAAGTCCAAGAGAGAAAAGAGGGCGAGTATCTCTCTTTTCGGCATTGCATTTATATCGCTGACCGACATAAATGCGCGCAATTATGAAACATATTTTCGCCGTTTATTGGAGATGCACGTGCCGCGCGGAACGTAGTTGTAACATTGGACTTTGAGATCAACAATAATTTCAGATAATCGTATTTGTCACGATTGACAAATGAAGTGCGGAAATGTCAGACTCAAAGTGCAAAAACTTCATTTCGGTATCAATGGCGACCCAGACTTGGCGAGGCGTCTTCACTTATTACGCGTCTCACGATAGCGGGTATCTCGTGTAGGCAATAGCATTTTTTTGGAGCGCAGGAGAAAGACAAAAATACTGGGTTTTTGTTGTTTTTTTTTTAGTTCGATCACTCGCGGCTCTCGTGCCGATTGATAGCCGCACGCCGTAAGAAGGTCGCTTTAACGATCGACAGAAATACACATTATAGTTCCAAGTTTGTCACAGAATCTTTCTTTTTTTTTCTTCCCCGCTGCCATGGAATTTATTTCCTCAGGCCTCATCGAGGGGCAGCGATCAAGGCGCGCGGATCGAGCCGTGTCTCTGTGCCTGCCTGTATCTTGACAAGTATAAGTTTTTGCAGACTACGGCTTCGTGGGTCAGCGAGACCGTATCGTCGTCTTTTCCCTCTTTCTCCCGGCCTTCTCGTTCCGTTCGACGATAAGCACGCCGTGGAGAAATGTGCATGGATTTTTAACAGAATGTGGGGGAGACCACATATGCGCCCATGTTCTCCTTCTTTCTCTTTTTTTTTCTCTCCTTTCCCGTTCTTTTCCTCTTTCCGTCGAGACGGGACAAAGTCGAGAATGCGATACCGAGAAATTTCGTAAAAAGACGTAAAAGACGCGCGAGCTCTTTTCGACAAAAGTTACGTATAGGATGTTGCGCACGAAATTCGCGGGACGATCGGAAGGAGAAGCGCGGATTTCCGGCGTTGGATGTCGATCGCGAAAAATGAATCATACGCGAACGCGGGGGAGATGACGGTCTACGGCCGCGTAACGTGAGGTAATTCGCATCGGTAATTCGCGCAGACATTCGTGATCGCGCAGTTTCGTGAGGGATGGCCTATATTTTTGCTTTTTTTCGATCGTGCGCAGACTGCGCCAATTCTCGTTTCGCGTTATCGTAAATGTGTCACGAACTTTATTATGAGATCAATCGCTGTAATTAAAATCGAGAGGAGGCGCTCTAAGAGGACTAATCGTCTTACTTATTCCGTGATAACATTTCCCGACGGCACGCTATCGCTCGCTGCTACCGAGGGGAAAAAAATGTGAGATTGTGGAAAAATGTGTCTATACTGCACATCGCTAGACGTATCGTGCGCGAAACATGATTTCGTTACACACCAAGTGTCCTTACGATAACCGCTCTTTTGGAATTTTCTGATAGCGTTTCAAAAACACTTCTATTAACGGCCTCGACTTTTAATCCAGCACCTTTGTAATCGATTTCATCTGCTTATCTGTATATTTTGTTGCACTATCGACGGCAATTTCGTCATTCCGACGTGAAGTAGAGGAAATGAAAAAAGAGAGAGAGAGAGAGAGAAAGAAAAGTAACCGTCACTTGCACGCGGAAATTATTGGCCAATGATCAATGTTCAATGATTAACATTCAAAGTCTAATGAGCTAAAATAATATGTCACGTAAATTACGTTAATCGTATCAAAACAAGAAATTGTAAAAAATTGAAAGTGTTAAAAAGATTTGTGGATTACACATTTTATGTTTACACATATACAGGATACATCTTAAACTTAATCTGAACGCCTGCTAATTATATAGCGTTTAGTGTTTTTAAAAAATATCGAGTCGAAAAGTCCTGAACCATTTTTTTTCTACAATGATCAGTAAAGCGGTAATTACTGCAGTGATGATTGCTTCATTGAGCGTAGAAAAAAATCGTCCAGGACTTTTCAATTTATAAGGAATTTTGTCAGTCGAAGTTTATAAGATTTTTTATAAGGAAAAATACGATGCGTGCGCTATATAATTGACAATATTTAAGATACACCCTGTATGTATAAAAATTAAACATTTGTGTTTATTTTACTTGAACGTCGATCAAGATGTTGCATCAGCACAGTTGACATAAAAATTGAAAATAATCGAAAAAGATGTGGATTACATATTTCACATTTATATATGTAAATATAGAAAATCAAATATTTTTGTTTATTCGGCTTGAACATTGATTAAAATGTTGCATCAGCACAGTCGATACAATTATATAACCGCGATGAACATTGCCCGTCGCAAGTGATCTGTAAATCACAGCGTTTTCGGAATTATGCAAGATATTAGATACGGATACGAGATAATGCTTTTTGCGCGATTCGCCAGCGAACTAAAGTGCATCCGGCGTTTATAAAAGTCTACGAGTTATTGCGATCCGCGGAAGGATTTCCTACAATGAGACCTTATCGTCATGTCCTGCAAAGAAAAACGGCCTTACGAAGGATATTGTACCCCGACGCGTAATATGTTGTATCGATCGAGCTTCTCACACACCGTGGCGAGTGTGTCAGTGCACGCGTGTTAAAAGTACGCAACCGGGTTTGCATTTCGTATAGTAGATATACACACGCATGTGAGTAAATATATACACGCGACGCACGGCATATGTCGCACATTTGCCTTGTCACAATTAGGATAGCGATCATCGCGCAACCTTCTTTCCTAGGGCGGAAACGTAAAAAGTGAAAAATTGCTGCGTTACCCTCAATGAAAAAAAAAAAAAACTCGCGTTTCCTCAGGGGAAAAATTGCATAATCACTACTCAGAAAATAAAACACGGGGTCCGCGGTTCTTTGAAAGATTCGTACATATGCATTTGCAAATCTCTCGCCGATCATGACGCAACGATCGCGAGAAAGAAGAAAGAATCAATGTGTGTCTTCGCCCAATAAAGAGGCTTTTTAAGTGACACGACGCGTGGACATTTAATTTATTTGCCCAATAAAAGGAGAGACGAAAAACAGACGCGCCTTTACTTGTATAACGCACGTGCTGAGAATTGTGCGATGCGCGGAATGCGGGGATACATCTCGATAAAACGTTTTTATCTCGTGTACACACACGTATGATTTTTTTCATATCGAGAGCACATGGTAACGTAGCGGACATGTGATTAGTGAATGAGGTTGCAACACGTTACAGAATGAACCCTCAGCTTATGAATAGATTATTACGATTTTACGTCGACACTCCCCTTCGCAACGAATGCGTCATACTCTGTGAAACTGTCCAGTGGTCACTCTTGATTACACGTTCGACCCACGGATATCTTTTACAATATATATTAGATTGGTGCAAAAGATTTGGCGGAGGGTATTGCGATATTCTTTCACATTTGTACATTTTTTTTAAACAAATAAAAATAAGAATTATTTTTCACGCAATAAATAATTTTGAAGAATGGATAATAGAAAATAAATAAATTGCTTTGAATTAATTATGAAATTTTATAATTATTAATTAGCTTTTACATTCACACATATTGGTTGAATTGTATAAGAGAATCAGACAGTAATAGGATCTCTTCTCCACACTACCAGTGTTTGTGCGGTTCGAGATAATGAAAGGAGTCAATCAACTCCCGGCTGGCGCGGAACTAGTTAACCGATGTTGCTAACGATTTCATTTCGACGCTCTCAGCGAGCGCTTAACTGAACCTTACAGGCCTAACCGCTTGTTTGAAGACTTCGTCGATCAGTTGCACGATAACGGCGGCGCGCGTAATTAGGCATCGGGAATCCACGCCTGCCAATCGAGGGTTCAATTGTCTTCAGATCAGTTTAGTCTATGTAGTCTGTATAAAAACTTGGGAAAGCAAAGTGCTTTATCGTGTTAATATCAACAAATGCTTAATTATTAAAAATATGTATAGGACATGTAATCACGAAAATTGCGATTTTAATTGCGATCTCAGGTGCCCATTTCTTCATACTTTTCTCCAAACCCGAGACCATTTTAAATATATAGCAGCATATAAAAATCTCAATCGAACAGATCTCTCGTTAATTATTCGTTATGTATTTAATAATATCTTGACCTATATATAGTTTCGGAATAACAAAAAAACATTTTACAATTCTTTTATTATAAAAATATATCAACAAAATATTTAATTTAATATATATTATAAAAATATATCAATATATTAATAATCAATTTTATATACATAGCCATTGGTCCTAAAATAATAAAAGAAAAAGATCAGTTTAACTCACCCGCGGCATCTTTAAAGCGTGTTTCGATGTTCGAATTGTGACGTCGCGATGCTTTTTCCGCAAAGGGAAAAAACTACAAGCAGGCGCTCTCTTCGGCGACGAGGGAGGACGGTTGGCGGCGGTACGGTTTCCTCAGGGCTTCTCGACGGCGGCCCTAACAGCGGGGGTGCGGTCCCTTGCGCTCGCCACGGACGGTCGGACTTCACTGAGGCGCCGTCGGTGGATCGGCGTCGCGACGCTTCTGCCGTTTTACTCCTGGGGATCCCACCGCGGGTGGCGGGATCGCGTGCCGCGCGCGCGGCGCCCACGAACCGGCGCCTGAACGCGGTCCCCGTTTGCGCCGCGAGTCAACGGGGGCGGAGAGGGGTAGGGGGAGGGGTGCCGTACGCGAGGGTGTCCCGGCGCACGTATCCCCCGCCGTATACGCGAGGGCGAACGCGAGAGGCGGGTAACGTATAGACGTGGTGTGAACATTCGAGCCCGGAGAATTGAAATTTGCTACCTGAGTTACGTATAAATGCGGACAAAATGTTCAATTTGATATCTCATCAATTTTATGATTATATTACAATTGCATATTGACGCGCTTTAAAACATGTGAAAATTTGAAATGATTTTGGGGGGATTAAAGGAATAAATCGAAGTCGTAGATAATACGAGATGAACGAACGTTTATCATTCGAAAATTGCTGTTCTCATATCGTATTGTAATTTTAAGTGTTGTTATTCTCTCATTTTTTCGCCAACGGGCCTATCTGGCTTATGTGTTTGTCTCACTCTATGTTGTCATTTTTTGTACAGCCGAACAGCTGAGCGGATTCGCGAATCCGTCAGCATGAATACGTTTAAATACCTTCCTATTGTTATCTCGAATTTTCGACGCAGACTGAATTTAATAATTACAAGTTGAAGTAGCGACGATGAAATCGCGACAGAAGCATATCAGGAAGGCTGAAGGATTAAGGAAAGAAATGGAAAAAAGCGTATTTTGATTGCAACACAGAATATAATAATTTTTATACTGACATGAGATACATAATTAGCGCTAATTAATAATAATAACATATCACGATTAACGTGAAATTTTTATTTTGCTTGCCGCTGAACAGAATTACATCTTTTTCTCGCTTTCACCTTCTCTGCCTTTCTCTCTTTCTCTCGATAAAGATAAAAAGTTATCTTTAAGTAAACTTTTAATTATTTCAAAGCCGTCGTTTGCAAAATGAGAGAATTCGATTGCAAAATATATATAAAGGGAATAGATATCGGGAATGTCCTCGAATGTCTCGATAATTGATGAACAGGCAATCCTCCCGTCCTGCAGCGGATATATTGCTCGACGTGCTCGTCTATCCGGACTAGCCGATCAAAACTTTCTTTTCGTGTAATTGCCCGAAAGGAACGGCGGATATCGTTTCGCATGTTCGACCACGTAATTATTTCCTGCACGCAGGGAAAATATATTTCTTTCGTCGATGGAGGCAATCCGCGGATGGTACACCCCCTCCCTCCGCTTTCGGGATGGAGGGGGCGGGAGGGCGGGTTGGTTCGTATTATGCTTTTCCAATCTGGAGAGTCGTCCCCGCGCCTTTCCACGTGGAACCCGACGCGGGCTTATCGCTGCGGTCACGTCAGTTTGCTTTCGGAATTTGGCCCACAAGGGTTATATAGGTTACATCACATGGTAGTACCGCGCATTCGGAAACGATAAACCTCTTTCCTTCCCGCGCGAGCCCCGGCAAAACCCCCCGAGTCTTCAACTTGCGAAATAATATTTCAGCTCTACCGTTGACCGTCTCTCAATTGCGCGATTAGGAAAATTAATTCTTCAATTTTCAGAATCAATTTTTTTTCGAAACGCCTCTAACGCCTTGTAAGATCTCTCTATATTTTACATTTTTTAGTTTATTTCTGACATTACTTTCCCACAGTCAAAATTAAAAGACATTATAGAAAGATTTATTACTTTATCACATGCGCGAAGTTTAAAACTTGCCCTCGCCTAATTAATGCGAAGCGGAGAAGCGACATCATATAGTAAATTAGATAAATGTATACTTCTAATTGCTTGCGCGTTTATATATTTTTATTACTTTTGCCGGAAGTAAAATATAAAAATAGAGGGGGATAGATTTACTATCGGAGGAGGTCTCTATCTCCTGTCACGAGGCGTTTCCATTTCTGTCAGTATTATCGAGACACGCGAAGGGTTAACGTCCTAAGTTACAACGGTGGTAAATCTATCTACGAATTTATTGCGCGGATGGTAGTGTCGAAAATTCGTGCGACACGCTGCCCCGAGGACGAAGGCCGACGAGACAATCGCGAATCGTAAATTAAGTATATTTAAGTAGGCTGATTCGAAGCGAGTGTATCGACATGAGATGCGGAAGCGCGTGTCGTTTATAATTCGCTTAATCTTTCCATTCAGTCGTACACATGACTTTACCGCTGCATTACTACATACGATAACAATATTAAGGGGAAGATCAGAAAATTCAGAAATAAATCTAAACAATATTGAAGAAAAGATTACGAATTCAGAAAGGGACAAACGATTTTACGCATCCAAAGGGGAGTTTTAAGTACTAATGCGAGAGACGATAAGGATTTGCCGAGGGTAGCCGTCAAAATAGCCATGGTGAACCTCTTCTCAGGGTTGGCCGTCCGTAAACGAGGACTCTGTAGTGGAGCCCTCGCGAGTACCTCGATCTGAACTTGAGCTTAACGAAGTCGTGGCCGATTCCGCCGTCGGTGACCCACGCCGCGCCGTTATCTTCGTCGGACAGCGAGTTGAAGCGTATGCACGTGATTCTCACGTCGGTCGGCCCGTAATCCTCCTCTACCTCCTGGTTAACAAACGAGAAACCTTCGTGAGTGGATTCAGGGTAACCGTTGACAAAAGACCTTTCCGGAAGGTCCATTGCGATTGACGAGGACTCGGTTTGCGCATATAATATGATGTAAACGCACTTGATAACCACCGATTCGGTGCGGCCTCCTGACGTCATACTCCCAGATCAGCTCGTCGTCGGCATCCTGTGATCGACATTCCCCGATCTCCTGCGCCGCCGTTGCGAGCAAAACGGCGCAGAGGAGGAGCAGAAGCGCCCGCGGCGATCGGAACCACATGTCTCGAGCTCCCGGGTTTCGATTTCCTTCGCTGAGGACGATGCGCCGCGGGAAGAGAATACCATTAACCATTAACGGGATAGAGATACTAAGAGAGGGAGGGGGGAATTAAGGAGAAAGAGAGAAAAATGGAACGTACGATTAAAGTGTCCTTCACTCGGGCGCGATCCTTCCGGATTGTTTTCGCGTGGGTGAAGACGGGCGGCTTATTGTCGAGCGATCGGAGACTCCGGATAGCACTAACCGAACGGATGGTATTAATAGCCGATACGTCGATACGCCACCGAAGGTATCCCCTTCTGGAATTACTGCAGTATTTACTCGTCGCGTCGTGCAGCCGCGGAGATTAGATACAATGTCGGTATCGGCACATCCGCCCGCCCGCCTGCCCGCCCGCTCCGGGCCGGCCGGGCTGTTGTTTCGAGAAGAGCGGGCGGATAATCGACAAGAGAGGCCGCGGATGGCCTCTTCTCCTCCGTTACGCAACGCACGCCGAAATCGGATGTGCGTGCATCGTAGCCCCCCCCCCTACCCCACCTTCTCCCGCGTGGCGGGTGCTCGAAAATGATCGAATTCCAAAAACCGCGAAAGGAAAACGCGATCTGTGATGAAATGAGTTAGGCGGATATGTTTCACGTTGCCTGGAAATTTTCATCAGCGGAGCCTTCTCAGAATTCCAGAAGCGAACTGTCAAACTGTCACGCGACTTGTGAATCGCCAGATAAAATTCTAGGGCTTGGGAGCGAGTAACGAGAATTCCCGTCTTTATGATACGATGATTTTCCTTCCAAGAATGCTTCCGCAATTGTTTGAACAAGGAAAATCCGCCGATGAATGGAAGAGGCACATGACAAACGTTTCTGCAATTTTTTTTTTTTTTTACTGAATTTCTCGATACTTCCAAGACTGCATTATACGACTGCAAACGATATTGCGTTCGGCGTAATCGTGACCGGCATCACGCATGCAAAATCAACCCTGACCCCGCTGACAGCGTCACTTCTGCATCGCAGTATCACACCTCCTGGTTATATTTATTCTGTTTTTGTAAAACGTACAGTGTTATCTGCTCGACGAATTTGCGAACGAAGCTGTGTATACGGGAGATTCGCTCCGACTGTCATAGTCCTGCGTGCGACGCAACCGCGACTTCACGATTAATTATTATTGATTACAGATAATAATACAGAAGCTTAAAACTAATCGCTAAATTAATCTTATCATTAACTTGTTTATTTATATGGCATTGTTCCTTCCTCGATCATGATTCATGGAGTCATATGAAAACGATTCATGTCTGCTGTAAGAAACAAAGGGGAGAACTTTTCGACAAGTCGCAGTAAGAGAGGGAAGTCTTCGTAGCAAAAATATTCACGGCTCGCTACTAATAACTCAGCAATTATCTGTAACTTCTAAGCGACAAGCGTCTTCTAAAATGTTTCGCATTTATATCCTTTGCTTCCTTCGAATGACGTTAGAAACGAAATGATTTTTAGCGAAAGTGCAGATCTGCCTTCATAAAATCGACGCCGATTGACCGTACTCTGCGTAGTGCGTGTTTCTCGAGTAACAAGTGCCACTTTTTGGTCTAGACGGCGCGGCGAGAACGAGGCTTCAGGCATCGAGGAAAGGGGGTATTGAATTGTAAAAATATTGCAACCAGCGAATGGCAGTCAGAGGTAAATGGCTGGCAGTAACCAGACCATCGCTATGTCAGCCAGGTGAATTGGTTCCCACAACGCGGTGCCTGGAACCACGCGGCTCACGTTGCCTAAGGAAATGACTTTACTTCTTGTTCTACACGCCGCTAAACCAACTTAGCAGCTTTTGAGTCCTTTTACTTTTCGGCTTCATTACAACGTGATCGACTCGGCCGGGGCGGGAGGGAGGGAGGAGGAGACAGAGAGAAGCGATCGTTATTATACTTATTATCGTTATAATATCGAAGGCGGAGTCATCGTTATTACGTCAGGGTATTATGCTCGTCTCGAGCAGAAAGGAGGCATCGCTGTGTGCCCTTCGGTGAATGAGAGAACCCTGCTGGCGAAGTTTATGGGAAAGATAGACGCCCTTATCGCGTGCCTCTCCTGAAGGAGAGTAAAAAATGAGGGAAGGGTACTATACACGGGCATATATTGATTTATTTCACTAGCCGTCGTCAAGGAACTGCATTTCAATATTATCGCATGATAGGGCTGCGTTACACACTTTATTGCCGCCGTTGTCCGAATCTCCGACTCACGCCCTCCGCTTACGAGGAAAAAAAGGGACGAGCCGTGACTCTCTCGTGACTCTCGTTTCCTCCTCCGCTTGTAATGCAAGCTCATCGGGAAGTGGATACTTGGCGGAGGTATCGATAGGTATCTCATATTTTATGTGACACATGCACGGCCGGAATTTTATCAAAATGAAATATATTTCGTGAAATATATTATTATACTTTTCGAGAGAACTTTCCTTAATTTATACATTATACTTACCTAAAATATTAGAGCAGCTGAAAGAGAGAGAGAGAGAGAAGTGCTGCTTTTATTCATTCGCCTTGCAGAAACATATCACTTAAATAGGGATAAAAGTTTAAATTGGATTTGCGTCATTTTCGAAACAACTCGCATTGGCTTTAAAAGTTTCTTACCCACGATTGTCGTTTTTAGAGATAATTTTGTGTATTTCGCGAAATGTTTACTGTCAGTTTACTGCCCTTATATCTCACAGTCGTGCTCTCGGCGCGTTTTCATCTCTAACATGATTTTTTACGCCGAGGCACGTGGAGGAATTATCGGCGATAAAACTATCGCCAGACAGCTTTTGCATATCGCGTCTTATCAGGTTGAATTTTTCCGCTAACTCGCGAATATTTCCACTCTGTTGGCTTCTTTTTTTTTTATCATCGCCGAAAAATCCGGTATGTCCTCACTTTTATCGTCTTAGATCGCAAGTCTTAGAATTAGATTATTGAGATTAGATATTAATTGAATATGTGGCTCATGGGCAAGCGTGTATTGAGAGTAGAGGTGCGAAAAATAAGTAACTGACAATGAATAAAATAAAGTTGCAAGCGCGTAATAATGCTCTTTTTATTGACAGATTTAACAGGGTAAAATTATTCACTTGAAATTTAGCCAGATAGGTAAGATTATTAATTTCCAACTTTTATAGCAAGCACTGTGGTGCGCATGGTGACATATGTAACAGGGTTTTGTAATCCTGCGTGTTCAGTTATATTAGTCGAGCCGAAGGCGATTAATGAAGGGTTAATTTGACGGCAATATTGATTGTTCGGCGACGTTGACGCGGATATCTGTCTACTCAGAGAAAGAAGCGGTTGAGTGCAGTGCGTTTCGAGAAAAGAAAGGGAAGAGAGAGGCGAAAAAAGGAGAAGAAAGGCAGATAATACCGGCAAACCGACTTCTCTCTCTCTCTTTCTCTCGCTCTCTCGCTCTGTCTTTCTCTCTTCACGAACCGGCGACCCCGAGCTGTCAAAGTCCGTCAGTGTTGCCCCCGGGTCATTCCATCTATAGCGAGGCATTATTTACAGCTTCACGCGTACAATCGCGTCGTGAGATTATAAGTTCCACCATGCCAACCAGTAACCCGTTGGCGAAACGCCCTCGATGTATGCAAGATGCATTACGTTCGCGCTCGTTAGCACGAACAAACAACGCGATTTTCAGCGAACGATCGACCTGATCGGCGACACGATCGCGATGACGTGCCACTGGTCATTGCTCCTTTGTTGCAATAGTATATCAGAAAACGTGACGCTAGTCTACCTGAATTTTCGAAAAATCACTTTTGTTAAAAAATACTTCATTTATTGTATGTTCGCAAAGTTTATTGCAATAAATCTTATGAGAATATATTAGAATATTAGAATATATTAAAAATATTGAAATATATATATATACAATTAAATAACATGAGTACTTCAGCTTTTAATTGAGGGATAACAAAAAAGTGTATATTGCGTGTAGTTCGATGTTTTTTTTTCAACATTTATTAATGAAAGGCTGACAATGTGAATTATATTATCATCAGGAATAACGTAGATTATATCTTCAAATATTTCGAAATATTCTTTTCAAAGCGAAATTGACGAAATGATTGAAATACATTAAGCGGTTCACAGACACTTTCAAGATGATCTGTGGATATTTACACATAATGCCGACACATATAACGCTCGTGAATCCTTAGGATACATCTCGATCCCAAGGAACGTTCGAAAAATTTCACCGAGAACAAAGAAAGTAATAAATAATCATTCGTTTTTTCGTTGTCAAGCAACTGAGATACGTCTCGGTAATGTGAGAATCGCTAAATCTGATTTAACGTAATGCAAAAATAAAAAAAAATCGAAACGCTTTATGAATTTATCGATATAAATACCTCGTGCTTTTTTCATACAAAAGAGAGAAATTATATCGGAAGGGTTAAGCCACTTCCATCGATTACGCGCTGGTATTTACAAAACATGCGCCAAGCAATCGTATATTCGTGAGAGCGAGCACGCTCTCGCGCCCGGCGAGCAAAGGCGAACGTGAGTATCGCCGGCGCCTATTGATCTGTGATTTACACAATGGTTCATAAATAAATCCTATCAGCGATTGTATACGAATGTCTCTCGCTATTACGCATCCGCGAAAAGAAAAAAAACAAATTGCGATCGATCTTAATTCAATAACGATAGTAGATGGAAAATCGAAGATTATCCCCTTCGGGATATCGCTGGTTCACACACTTGCACGGATGATAAGCCGTCGTTTTAAACATCATCGTTTTACATCTCCTCGCGTCGCGCAACGTGACCTCCTAGCGATCCAACAGTGACTCGAACAAATTGAATCGGAGACGGGGAGAAGCGCTCTCCTTCCCGCGATCGTAGACGCGCGATTACGATAAGACGTAGCGAAGGAGGTGAGATTAGAATTAACCGGTTTTTCGAGGTTTTCCCCCCTTCCCCCTCTCCCCCCCGTTGTATTGTACGGGCCGTCGCTGTGCCAGTCTGCGGGGAGATAGGAGCGTATTAATCACGCGCGGCGCAAAAGTCTCCCGTTTAGTACAATCAGCGTTGATAGCGTGCAACCCGCCGAGAGAGCATGTGTTTTTTTCATCCGTGTGTCCGATCGCGCTCCTCCCCCATATACGTTGCCCCCCGCTCCCCCAATCGAATGGGTGAGGCAGAGAGGTCCAAGTGGCAGTACACACATGGCGCGTGAGCTGCCGCACGTCCTCTTATTCTCCCCTTTTTTTTTGTCTCTCTCTCTCATAAGCCGATTACCAGCCGAACTTGACCTTTGTACCTATTTTTAACTCGCTCACTTTCGTCAAAATCCGCGATCCCCGAACAAACGCGATTGCCGGGATAGCGCGCGATATCTATAACTCTCGCGAACGCCACGGACTCCCCATTGACTCGCTCTCATGAATCGCGGGGAAAACGCGCCTCTGCCAAGTTCCTTACTTCCTAGTTCTCGAATTGACACACACAACTACCGTGTCCCTTCCTTCCTTCCTTCCGTCCTCAGCAAAACAAGACTGCTGTATTATGATCGTTAATTAATAAGTAAAAAGTAAGTAATGAAATTACATACACGCATACATATATATACACGCTTTCTCTTTCTCTCTCTGTCACACACGCACTCTATGCGTGGAATCGTTACGAGTCTCATATTCACTTGTATGTTACAACGCGACGCAAGATAATGTATAACAAGAGAATAGCTCTTATATGCTGATCAGCCGCGTGCGAAATGGATATCGCGCGCGCGGATATCCATTGTTCTCCAATAAATAATATCACACTCTACACAATTACTCACGGAAGAAAAGACATAAGTACGGGTCTTGTTCGGGATTCGTCCGCGGATCTCCTCTTTGGCACAATCGTTTCTTCTCGGAGACGCGATCGACGTTGAGATTCAGATACATAGCTACACTCCAACCCCCTCGGTTACGCCACTATAAGCTAAGGATCAATTGTGAGTTTTTTGGACGATCCTCGCGACGATTTCTGAAGGGCATGTCTGCGGATATGATAGCAGGCGAAACAGAAGGGATCTCGATGCAAGAAAAGCACCCCCCATTTTCAGGGTAGAGTCCTATTGCACTACCGCCAGGGGTGGGTTGTGCTGCGTCCTGATGGCCTCCGCGACGCGCCTAAACGGCAATTGAAGATGATAGTAGGCGCAGTAGGGCAGCGGGTCCCAGTAGACGAAGAGGGACTCCCTCTTGTCCAGCACCGTGCCCAGAAGATGCGGCGCGGTCTCGCTGGCCGATTGCTTGAGAGCACTCGCCACGGCGTCGGACAGCAATTGCCGGCTCGACGTGCTCTGCAGCAACGCCGAGTTCTGCCTGGAGAAGTGTCGACAGGGCTTCCACACCAGACGCGGATGTATCCCCGTGTGGCAGATGTAGGGCAGGCTCACGCCGACCCGGCAGCCGATGGACACCAGCTCGCCCGTCTCCTCCGACGCCGCCAGCCGGAAGCTCATGTGACCGTTGATCCTGCTGCCGAAGGAACGGGCGAAGAACTGCTCGAGCCACCGCGTGACCTCGGGACGTTCCTCGGGTATGAGGCCCCGATCCTCGTCCACTCGGCAGGTCACGTTCGCCACGATCCGCGACTCCTTGAGCGTGGTGCAGGTGATGAAGTGATCGCCGCCGGGGTCGCGGATCACCACCCACGGTCGCCTCTCGCTGATCTCGTGCTCCTGATTCCGGATCTCCCGGACGGTGGGCGGCAGCAGGATCTTGGCGCGATCGCGCATCCCAGCGGGACCGGCGGCCAGCATCATGTACCTGCCGTTGCGGAACGCGTTCCGCTCGTAGAGCGCGGACAGATCCTGCATCGATCGCAGCAGGAAGTGCTGCGTTGTCGGGAGGCCGAGCATGCGACAGCGTCGCAGCAGCTCCAGCGGATCGTCCAGCGCGGTCACCTCGCTGGCGTCGGGCACGAAGCACTCGCAGCCCATGATCTCCAAATGCGGCTTCGCCAGGGCGTCGTAATACGCGGTGTTGGCGGCGCTCACCGGTATGTAGTAGGCCACCTTCTCGCGCTGGACGATGTCCCGCAGCGCCTTTATGTACTCGACGACGTTTCTGGGCCCGGGTTGCGGTATCGTGTAGTACTTGGAGCAGGCGGTGGAGAATCTGGCCAGGCCGAACAGGCCCTCGTGATCGCACACCACCACCCGTGCGCCCGCCTTGTAAAAGTTGCGCGCGAGATGCACCGCCTGCACCGTGCTACCGCCGCTGATCAGCACGCACCGCTTGCTGCGCGATCTCTCGTACGCCGGGGTGTGCAGCACGGTGATGAACCACTTGAAAGCGGTCAGCGGCAGCTGCAGAATCACCCAGAAAACGCATACCCAGGCGGACGCCCAGAGGGCGGGCGCCCAGATCGCGTAGCCGATCACGTTGAAGACGCCCCGAAAGAGACCCGTCAGAAGCCCGAAGTACCAGGACAGGATTCTCGACAGGATGAAATTGTTGCTCCTCTCGACTTTCCGACTGTCTGCCGCCAGCGTACCCAGCTGATGATGATGATGATGATGATGATACGGCGGCTGTTGCTGATGCTGTCGTTGCTGCTGTCGTCTCTGGGAGAGTATCACCGTCGACATGCTCGAGAGCGACGACGCCCGGGAGAGATTGACCGGCGCGTTGGACGTCGGCGCGATCACGTTCGACGTCGTGCGCTTCAGCGTGGACACGGGCGACATCCGGGATGGCGACGTGGACAACGGGGTGCCGGGTAGCGGCGGCGATGCGCTGCTGCTTCGTGACATCGGCGGGCTGGAGGACCATAATCTGGACGAGCTCTCGCTCGAGCAGGCGGGCATCTTTGTTTCCCGTTTCGGCGTTTCGCCTTCGGAAACCCCGTCCGGGAGAGGGTTACGAATCGAGGGGCCCAGCCGATCGGTAGAAATCCTTATACCCTGGACTCATACCTTGATCTTGGGAAATAACCGTCGGTTATTCCCCGAGGAGGCGTAGGAAGAGGAAGATGAGATGCGAGATACAGTTATTTTCCGGAGGTCAATTATAGTACTGTTTTAAGTCACGGATAGAAAAAAATTATCTCCCTTTCTCGTCGGAAACAGATATGTAGCGATGGAAGCGGCCGGATGACACAACATACACGAAAATCAGAGCGACATACTGTTGCTGACATCAATCGCGGAGAAGTTACTCGGGGGAGCCGACTTGTCCCGTCTTTAATTGTCGGTTTGCACACGCAGCTTTAACTGAGGCTGGGCCTCGAGCATCCCGGTCTCTTATGAGGTCTGCATCTCGGACGTACTATGAACCGTAGCCTTATCTAATCGTCGCGCCTCAGACACCGCGACGAAAAGAAAGGAGTCGCAAAATATGTCGCGTCTGCTCTCGCTTTTCTCCCCTCCCACCTTTTTTTTTTCTTTCATCCGTTTCAAATTAATTACGGCGAAGGGAAAAGAGACGGGATGGAGAGAAAAATTTATTGTGGTACAAAAATCAGTTGTTTGATTCGTGTATCGATAAGCAATCGGACCGATCCGAGTATCGAAGGGGTTTTTTTTTTTATAGACGTGCCATTATAGATCACGGCGTGTATGCAAATGACCGTGTATTACCGTTATATATTTTACCGGATGGTTGTTTCTTGACAATGAAAGAATGTCACGAATGTGGACAATCGTGCAATCGAGAAACTTCATTTGATTAAGATTAAGATATTTTATTAAGATAACAGTCATGATTAAACATTTATCTAACGATCGTGCAACATTTTACAGTCGAGATGCACATAAAAGATAATTAAATTTAATGAATTATATATATGCTTCATATTGAATATAAATTCAAATGTTTAATCGTGATTGTTATCTTAATAACATATCTTAATAAAATGAAGATGAAGAACAATGAAGTTAATCTGAAAATTGACGAGACAATTAATAATCAAGATAATTTGTTCTTTTCAACACACAATTGTATAAAATATTTTAAAAGGATTAACTCATAACTATTTATCAAATAAATAACAAACGTCATTTATGAAATGAGTAATATTGTAATATTTATATAACAATATTAGTATCAGCTGATGTTTAAAATATATATCGGTATATTACCTTAATCGGAGCTGAGATCTGAAAACAGGTTAATTATTATATTAACTTTCACAATAAATTATTATTAAATAAATATAAGATGAAGAGAATATGAAGAGTGTGAAGAACAGAAAATAAATAAAGAATCGAAATGAAATTAATCTATGCGTCGATAATTGATAATTATAAAATAAAGATGAAATTTTTATGTAATAAATGTTTTTATTCAATAAATAAAATAAAAAGATATAATATTTGAAATACACAGCGCACTGCGTGATGCGCAAAATAATATCTATTGATGTAGAATATAGTCGTTAATGATAAACTTGGGAGAGGATATCAAGTTGTATGTGACATCCACTTTTACTACAGAGTTAAAGAAGCGAAAAAAAAAGACATTTGATATTCGAGAAATTCTTAGGGATGATGCTCTTTTTTTGAATACACACAACTTTATTTCGTACATTTAGAATATACTTATCTTGTAAATTATATAATACGTTATGGTCTTATTTGGCTTAATGAAATACAATAATTTACTGTCTTTAGAATTTGTTCTCTCTTTGCTGTTACGGCACTTGAGCCACAGTACAAGTATATTCTTGACCACTATTTTCTATATAAAACGAAAAAAGTTGACCGATCCTGTAAGAATTTCCGTATTTTATCCGAAATTTCAGTGAGGAGATTACAATTCTCGAGGAAAGTCCATCAAAAGGCAAGACATTGAATTGACTTTCTTAATATTAATATACATTCAGCTTTATGTGCTATTCTGTTTATTCGCGTACACTGATCGTTATAGTACAAAGGAATTAAGATAAAGATAAATAAACGATAAATTCTCTTTCGGATCTACGAAAAAGCCCTTAAGCAGCGAAAGGAGAAAGTAGCCTTTCAATTTAGCACGAAGTACCCGCAACGAAGTTTTACTTTATGACATTTCGATAAATTATTATATTTCCCTTATCAGTTAAATAAAGATGATCTCTTACAACTTTGGCCCATTCAATGTAATTAATACCAATCAAAATTTTCTCTTCTACTATACAATGTTATACGAATATCAACTAACAGTCGCTCTCTCTTTAACTACATATATTTATATATTTATATTTGTATAATGTGATTGGTATATATATAATATATATTATATATATTATATATATAATATTATATTATATGTGTACATGTTTAATTCTTACGCGCAGAGGTGGCAAATGTACTCGCATGCGCGCATAAACACACTCGTGCAGGTTCACACACATCCGTCGTATGTCGGGTATTACAATGTTTTTTTTTTATGTATATATTTATATATTACTCTCTAAGAACTATTCTTATCGTACAATTTTTTAAGCAATAAATATCTTCAGATGCTCTTCTCCATTCTACTTATATACAATTTCTCTAACTGTATAACGCACAGAGAGTTTCTCTTATTACACTATTCAAATCCATCTTAGTGGATAGCAATCGTATGAATGAAGTGACGTCGCATCGTTAAGGAAACAATTTCCTTCGCTATTTAAAAAAATATTGTGAAAATATAATTTCCTAATACAATGTCATCAATGAAATAATCGCTTATCGCAGATTGCCATTCCTACGGAAGAATTGTACGGTTGTTATACTACGTGTGGCGTATATATAAAGTACATTAAAAAAAGACGAGAAAATGTGTATCTTCAAAAGTAAAAAAAAAATAAAAAATAAAAAATACGCGTTATTTCGTTAGAGAACAATCTTTATAATAAATTACGAGCTTGTGTTTAACACGCTAAAGCCACAATTTGTCACACTCGTAAACAATTAATTTATATTGTAGTATAACAACGGTACAATGTAGAATGTCTTACAAAAGCACTTGCGCTTTTATTCCCCTCTGATAAACTATATAATAAACTGTATCAAAAAATCTATGTGGTATCCAGTAAATGGATTTATTCCATTTATGCAATAATTACAAATAACACTTCGTATTATTTAAAGTAAAATTTTTGTCACGTGAAAACAAATCAATATTTCGTGTACGACTTGTGTGTACGACTAGAAATCATAGTTATAAACCTACAATGATAATGCCATTGCGATTTGTGTTTTAAGCTATGCATATACTGTTATACAATAACTGACGTTTTTCTCTACAATTTTCGCACAACTTAATTATTTACTTTGTCGTTTTAAACGTTTATAATCCCTTTGGTATATATACTTTTTTTTTTTCAAAAATAACGAATATCGACTGGGTGAACTATTCCCAAAGAAGAATAATCTACATTTCTTCTCTCAGCTACTTTTACGAAAATATATGGTATCAAATCACGCATATCTCGTCTGATTTTCTCCGTAACAGCCGGTTATTAAAAGTTCGACAGACTTCTCATCCCCGAATAGAAAATAAAATGTAAATAATTGACGACGCCTAATTCGAACTGTAACACAGATGTTTCTTCTTATGCATGATAAAACGATGATCTGCGTGTACATTTAATTCACATGTTCGAATGTCAACATTCTCTTGCATCATCCGTATCGCTTCGACTTCGTCTTTCTCATATACGTTCGAAAAATACTCGACAGAGCGTTGTGCTTGTAATACCTCGTCGGTCTGCGTGTCTATCAACACAGAACAACGTAAAAAAAAAAGATAACCCGGTCGAAATACGTTCGCCTATAGCTTGTGATTGTATTGTTAACTTCAATCTTTTTTTTTGTCTTCTATAAAATTTGTGCTTTTACGGAAGTGGAGATGTAATCGTTAGAGAATACAAATAGAGTAGAGTGGTAATATAAATTTCGCAATTCGATCGTAAAATCGATCTCGAAATTTGTAAAACTCCCTCAAATATCTCGCGTTAATCCCGGCTCTCTTTGTAAGAAAACTTAAACCCTTAGAAGGGGTATCCATATTTATAACCGTTAATCCCGGCTCTCTTTGTAAGAAAACTTAAACCCTTAGAAGGGGTATCCATATTTATAACCGTTGAATGTAGCGAACTTTATATAAATTTCTCATACACAGGGACTCTAAAATTCACTTTTTGGAAATCAATCCCACAATTAGTTTCACATATATCAGGATCACGGCACATTAATTTGTAAACCACAATCATGTGTATTTCACATTTATGTCACTGCTAATGACATTAGCTGGTGGATTTTAAACCTATGGTTTTTATTATTTTTATCTATGCTTGTGTTTAAGTGTCTTATAATTAATAACATGTTACATAGATACGGTATTGTCTATTACAAATTTATCATTTCTATATCTTTGGATAAAAGATCAGGAGTACATTGCAGTAATATATATATATATTTTTTTTTTCGTTAAATCGTAATACAGTTCTTAAATAGCGATTATATATACCGTATGCGCGATAGAAAAGTCAAACGTATACAATGTATGAAAGAAAAATGATTGTACGGTTGTATCAGAAAGAGATACTTTCCAATTCTCTTTAAGAATTGTAAAACACGGTATATATGAAGATAAAACATGTTATGATATTAATAAATAAGGAATATAAAATAAGGAAAAAATCTCAAACAAACGAAATTAAAAAATAAACATTTGCTATGTAAGAAAACAATCATATATATATATTTTTTTTCGTTATTAAATAAATCAAAATTTGAAACTATTTTCAAATTTAATTCAACATTAAAATATGAAATTATGAAATTGATAACTTAGATCATAAAATATCGATATAATAACATAGTTGATTATTATTTAAGAACATTATTAAATAAAAATAGAAAAAAAATCACAGATTATAAATACATATACTTAATTTTGTATATAAATAATATGTAATACTATACTAATCAATATCAAAATAACATATTACACAATTGCATTAGTTAGATATAGCATAAATGAAATTCTTATATATATATATATAAGAATTTCATTAAGAAAATTTGGAAAGTACATCTTATCGTCCCCTTTAATGTAAATCTTAAGGGTAACATATAATTTATAACTTGATTTAAAACATAAGATAGAGAGAGTGAAAAATTAGTATGCGTAAACTTTATACAAATCTGTCAATAATAAAAAAAGTATATATTAAATGTATAATATAAACATAATGCATTTTAATATATTAGAATTGTTTCTCTCTCTCTTTCTCTCTTT